ATTTTGAGACCTTTTTACTTTGATGAAGCAGCATGACAGGATTTTAGCCCTGGGACTTTGCCGGTCAAATGGACATGGGCATTCTGTGTTCGTTGCAACTAAAAAAACATTAGAGTACAATAGAGCTCTAAAGGCAGCCAAAAAATCTCAGCATTTAATTTACATTTTATGCAATCAGGAGGGGTTCACATATCAGATGATTTTGTGGTTCTGTCATGATGGGCTGACTCATGCATGTAGTCCCACAGACTACTTATATTGGTAAGCCAAGGCTGGCCCAGTGTCTAAAATGTTAATGTGGGAACAAGTCTTGTATCTTCTACTTTTGTTGTCAAGTCCATCACTTTCCAAGAAATGTGATGGTTTGGGGAATCTATGTGGACAACTTAAGAATTCTAGTTGATATTATGAAGTTGTTACTGTGAAAATTGTTGTATAGTGCAGTGCCACTGCATGTACCCACTTTTGCTGGCATATTCTTTACTGTGTTCCCATTAAACTAGCAAAAATAGAGAGTACTTAATTTTACCAACTGTAGTTTTGTCCAGGAAACAAAATAGCAAGGAGATTGGGGGGTGGGGAGGAAGGAGGTAGCCAGAACCAGTTAATTTTCCCTAGCTGTCCTCAAGAAGGGCTTTAGGGAATAGAGATTGCTGAAGCAGAACGAAGGGACGGAGGGGACACAGGGATAGACCTAAGGAACTTTGGGCTTGAGAGTGGAAGAGACAAGCATGTACACAAGGTTTATTATTTTTGTCTAGATTTGTGTATTTCCTATATCACTCAGTGAAGAATCCTTGTGTTTTATAATAGTATGCCAAACTTGTCTGTGCTTCTGCTTTTACCGTCATAGGCCCCTGAAGAGTTAAGCTGTAGGTCAAAATGCCTTCATGCCTGGAGTTCTGAGAGAGGGTGTGTTTAGGTACCTAGGGTATTTTGGTGGCAAGAGGACCAGCAGTCATCTTCTCTGTCAAGCAGTAACAGACAAAGAACCTGTATCCAGAAAATGTTCCCAGGAGGACCTGGGAGAAAAAACTGATGAAGGCAGCTGAGATCCAGGCAAACAAGGTGCGGTTGCTCTGTGTCCAGATCCTGCACATGGGTCAAAGCAAGCATGCTGGATCACACTTGCAAAATAATTCTACACACCAACTCTATGCTGGATCTGGTGCATGGACTGGCCTTGCCCACAGGATCCAGTCCAGGGACTAGCCCTGCTCCCCTTACTTGGCCTGTGGAGCTGAAAAGTTGAGCACCGCTGGCCTAGTGGACTGGGACTCAACACAGTAGTTTAGTGACTGTCCAAAAAGGCAGTGTTGCAGTAGATCTGTACATTGCTATTGGTGTGTGACCTGGTCTACACTACAAGATGTAGTCAGAGCATCATCAGGGACCAAAGCTGTTCAACCATGGAGGACTACTGTCAGTTCAGAATGTTTTATAAGATTTCTTGAATACCCTCCTGCCTGTGAACTGTACTACCAGTCCTTTTGGTAATATCACTGAAAAAACTGAATGTAATCTGTAAGAAAATGACTGCATTAAAAACTGATCTGGCCACTTGGTTGATGTTATTCACTGCTGAAATATGTCATGTTGTGCTGAGTAACTTAAGTGTCATATTGCTTCTCTGCACTCGGAGCAGAAGTCTTTCTGGAGTTTCCGAGCAGTCATGCAGATTCTCTTGCCTGCTTAGTAAGACCATGAGCAAGGTTAAAAATATTGATACCATTTACAATCTAGCCTTTTTTCTGAAGCAATGATCTATTTGAAAGGGTTCAAAAGTGTTTTTTCAGTTGTGCGATCTGGTGCAGCCTTACATATACCCTTATATCTCAAGAAGATTTTGCAACAGCCTCACTTGCCTTTAAAACAATGAGGTTCTATTATTGTAGTTTTCTCCAAGCTAAACATCTCACAGTTCATCTTCTTTGCTGTCAGTTTCTTCAGAGAGGTAGCAAGATATTTGCCCACTACTCTGGGAAAACAGGTGCACATTACACCTAGCTTGCTACAGTGACCTGTTATGAAGTGTCAGATTAATTTGAGCAGAGTCCTGCTGGTTCTTTAACCCTTAATGCCCATATGTGTGATTGACTTCATCAGCCTTGACTGTCTAGATTATTATATCCTGACCCTACATGACTTTTGAGGAACCCTTCAAAACCTAGCAGGTGATAATGTCTTGCTATGATGGGCTGTGAGCATGGAATTTGTTTTTTTTAGATGTCCATCTCTCCTCAATTCATTCTTCTTTCCAACACCTGTAAAATTATTTTCACCTCATATTTGATATGCTTCCCTTCCCTTAGACCAAGATTTGTTGTATTATGATTTATTGCATTTTATAGCACTTGGAGGGAGCTTTAATTATAGCAAGAAAAATGGAAGTATTGTAATTTCATTAATGTTGGCAACCATTTCAGCTTTGCCCTGAAGACCCATTGTCTAAACACATTAGGAGCCACACTGGAGCCAACCCCCACATAGCTGTCTGAAGGGGAAAGGATATAAAGTACAAAGAGCTCCCATTTTCATAGGTCTCCAGGGCAGCAAGAAGCCAAATTTGCATCCTTTGCTCTCCTGATTTCCTGTGTGGAGTAGGAAACGTAAAGGTATACATTTCACCAAAAAGGCACGGAGGGCTGGGGTTATGACAGTGGTATTCTATACCAATCAGCAGCTCTTATTTATCATTAATAGCACGATGCTGGCTGTGCAGTACATGGACTGTCTCCTTAGTTTTGCATATCTGTTGCTCAATACAGCAGCACCCCAGAGCATGCATTAGAGACTATCTGGATGCTACTAGGCACATCTGCATGTGTGCTTTAATGCACATTAGCTTATTTTACTGCACATTCAAGCATTACAAAAAAACATGCTCTTTAGCTAATGTGCATTAAAATAAACTAATACACATTTTTCTAGTATCTCACAATGGAGGTACTAGATTTAATGTGCATTACCTAAAGTGCATTAATAAACATGTAGATGCACCCACTGTCATCCAAGCATAGAATAATCATTCAATTCAGTCCTGAAGCCATTACAATTGTTGCGGCACTTAGATGCTGTAACCACCCTAGGTTAGTTGAGTTGCTTTGCATCACTGGTGATTCTTTGGGCAGAGTGACCTGGTGGTGCCCATCTGCTCTCCAGGTATGGATGGCCATTGGCTCACAGGGAGTTCATCTGCCCTTTGAGAGGTCTTGTTTTTAGTCCGCTGGGTGTCCACACCCCCTCCTCACCCAGGCTAGCCGAGGTGGGGGTGTTGGTTTAGTCACCAACAGCCCAACCATGGAATAGGCTGTATTGGTTTACATGATACCAGATAGTAGACCAAGAAGGGCCTGGCCTGACACAAGGAATAATAAGGTGTACCATGATTTCCCCAGAAGGCTGAAACTTGCTGTCTTCCTGAGGTAGAACTGGGTGAAAATTTTCCAAGTAATCCAGAGTTTGACAACGTTTTGATGATTTCCTGCATTATTTGACTAGGTCTCCTGCTCTGAGATATATCTGAATACCATAATCTGGCCTTCTATATACATAAGTTATTGAGCATTGAATTCATGGCTAGTGTGATTCATATTTGCCAAAGCTAAACATCCATCCTGCAGTCAGGTAGAGTTGTGTTCAAAGGCATGGATGCAGCTGTAGCACATGTGGATGTACCTGAGTTAGCTGTCAAGTAACTACTAGCTGAGGTACTGCAAGAAGAGTCACCATGGCAGCATGGAGTTTAACTTAGGCCACCTGCCCATTTATATACTCAGCTGCTCTGTGTTGCTGCAGCTTTACCCTGTTATCAGTATCTGAACTAGGTAACTTAAAGCTGTCTCAGGTATGAGTGCCATGTTTACAGCCTCATGCCCTAATGATCTGCCAGTTGATCAGTACGGATGAAACCTTAAACTGGCACCATAAACTGGCACACAGCCCCACTGATTTTGCTAGGATTTAGACTCTATTCAGGGGTTCTGGATCAGGGTCTGAATTGGTGGTTTGATGCACACATATGTATGTTCTTTATATTACTCATGCATAGCATATAGCTGTACATTTTCAAGCCACTGCTCCAACAACCTAAAGAGAGATTTCTGCCCTAGACATTCACTGTATTTAAAACCAGTGTTTTTCCCAAAATCATCCTTTCAAAGTTTAACAATTTTATATAGCCTGTCAATTGACAAACCTCAAATTGCAATTCATTTTTGTGTTATAAATATAGTATTAAATCTAAATTAGATCCTATTCATGGGACAGTTGAGCTAATTGGACCATTTTTTTTCTTTTTTCCTTGCAATTATAAGGAGAACAAATGTTCTCTCTGTGTGTGAATTAGTCATAGAGAATGTGTAGATCCCCTTATACATCACCTTACAAATAACTGCTTAATGATTTTAGCTGGGAATTACGTTAGTTTCCCAAACATTGCTCCATGCTGAGACTTGAATTAGTGTGAAATCCTGTAATGAATGTCCTCAGATGCAAAAAAATGCAATGATGTAATATGTTATATGATGGTAGGGTTAATAAAATTGCCTTTATTGAGCTTGAATTTTATTGTTGCAGCCAACTTACCATTTTAATTGGAAAAAATTTAGGGCCTAACCTGAAAATGCCTCTTGTATGTGAGTAACCCTTCTGACTTTGATGAATGACTTCCCTCATTAAAACTTTGCAGTACCATGCCCTTCATGCTTTGCTACATGTCTCTGAATGAAGATCATTTTTGTTTTCATCATTTCCCCCCTGCCCTTTTTTTTTTGTTGGGTGCATGAAGATCTTGGTCTGGACCTGTCCTTGGGTTTAAGCTAACTTAAAAAAAAGGCAATTTCTTTTCTTACCTCGAGGGGTTTTAGTCTTAAAGTATACAAGTGAGCTAATATTATACAGAAAATTCCTCCAGTATCAAATTCCAGCTGTTCCTTATTTTGTCTGCAAGAAATTCTCTAAATATGTTCCTATTTAATGCATTCCATTCATCAATTTAGGATCCTGAAATAAGCCATTTTGTCTTGGTTGCTGGTGAGCCGATTAAGGAGCCTGTCGTACAACATGGTAAGAATGTCGAGTAAATGAAGCGATCTTGACATTTTTGTTTGGTCTTCAAAATTAGTAGAAAGAATTAAAAGGATATATTCCATGTTTCTCACCTTCCCCCACACTTACCTAATGACCTTTTGACACTCTTGTGTTCCTCTCCATTACAAAAACAAGGATTGAAAATCGGTGATTCTGATGTTCCCTAGCCAAAATGGTATATGTGGGATCATGTGATTGAAGTTAAATTCTGGTCTAGCAGCTTCCAAAATAGGGTTTATGACCCCAGGTGGAGTCACAGAACTTAAGGAGCTTCACAGAGAGTCACTTACAGCCGCTGGACAGGAAGTGTGATATTGCAAGCTGGCCGGAGGTGGGGTTACTGTGGAAAAAAGAGTTTGGAACTGCTAGTCTATGA